CTGAGGTTGGACGTTAAATTATCCTACCAGAAAATACTAATTTTTAGCTTTTGAGTGATGTATAAAATGTTTGATAACTGCTATTGCTTAAACGTGAAATATCATCTGAACAATTTTTATCAAAGTTTTTCCGCACAGGTCATTTTTGTGGGTCGGTACAACATTGCGTTTTGATTCGATGATATTTACAATTCAGACCATTAACTTTAAACTTTTATGGGTTCCTGTTGATAAAATACGTTAGGTTTATGTGATTGGGTCAGCTATTAAGTCATTCATAGTCTCGATCTTTTCAGGTTCAATGAAATTTGTCTCGAGTCAAAGAAGGTTTGATTACCTTTTGACAGTCACTTCAGCCGTTTTAAATTTTCATGTATGGAGGAAGGTTGTCTATAATTCCTATTCGACTACAGTCAATCCCCATCCATTTTGACAAAAAACCAAATCAGGTGGCAACTCAGAAGTTCAATTTTGTGTTTTGCAATTTTTGATATTTTCGCTGATAATTATTATTTACTTATGTGACGAATATCATGATTAGCTATAGTAGAAAATTAGATTTTAATAATTTCATTGCAGTTTCCAATTCAATCGTCAGATGGCGCTGATATTCTTGTCAAAATTCAGTAAAGTCTCGATTTTTTTCACAAAAAAATGGTCAGAGAAAATCAAGACAGCTCCATCTAGCAGAACTGTAAATGACTACATCACTATGCGCAGTTAAATGCAATTTTATCAAACTGTTATTTTGTTTAACACCACATTTAATAACGACAGCTAACATTAATAGTCAACATCGAGAAACTACATAGATCTGAGAAAAATAGATTTGACTCGAAGTTATATGATGAAACAATCTCAGGTTGGCCTTAGTGGTGTACGATATTGAAAATAAAAATTTATCGAAGGTTACAATAGAGAGTCAATTTTGAGGGTGTATCTTACACAAGAGCACTTCAATGCTTGCAATAAGTGGTATAATACGTGAAAAGTCACATATTTTTCACCCGAAATATCTGTTATCTCTTCAAATGGCTTCAGAGCAATCACAACTTCTACAAGGCAGCTTATCGAAACATTCAAATCAAGAGCACGTTTTGCGTTGATTAGTGATACATAAGAAAATTTCAATATGTAATGATAAATAGCGTTTCAGCATGTGATTGGTTGAGTTACAACGCGTAATCACATCTTGAAACAATTCTAATCATGGTAATTCATTTCATTTTTTGCTTTTGATTTCATCGCTGGTAGTTTATCTAGTTGCTTTTTCTTCTTTTCGTGAATCTTTCAGTTTTTTTGCTGCGTGAATGGTAAGACCAGCTCATCTAGAGCCAAATCAACCTGACACGAACGGATGGTGATGCTGATGGTGAGGATTGCGATGCCACCAGCATTGACGAAGAAGAATCAACAGGCGCAGTGGCTAGTGGGAACCATCCGGTTACTAAGTTTTTGCGACAAGGCTACTTAAGGATTGGTGGTGAACAAGTTCACCGCATGACCAATTCCTTAACTCAGGCTCAGGACGTGATCACCGATAAAGATGTGCCATGGGACCTTCAACCAGGTGATTCTAAGTTATTTAGAATAAAGTTGGACGGCCAAAGAAAAGGACGCTAAATATTGCTGTCGATACTGCGGGTCAGGTCTTTCTGGTCGTTGAGCTGGAACTCGTCACGAGCAGTATTACTACAGATGGCTCTGATCCATCACTTTTTCGATCAAACCATCAGGTAAACCTTTTATAAAGTCAACATCCATCATTGTGTTGAATAATTTTTGATATTCTGCATAAAAATAGGAAATTTTTTTAGAAACAGGATTGAAGAACCTTCCAACATTGTGCATGAGCTGTCTTAGCCAGAATGTTTTACCACAACCACTTGGTCCAGCTATAAGCATAGTAAATGGATGCTTTGAATAAAGCGAATACATTGTTATAAATTGATAGATAGTTTTGTGTGCCGTTTTCATTTTTTCAAAAGGATGATGAAATACGCATTGTCTATGAATTGAAAAGAGATTTATTGAATGAATTAAAATGAGATTAACGATTTAAGGCACAGAATTTTAGCAAATTAAAGGAAATTAAAGCAAATTAGCGTTAATTAAAACAGATGATGATAAAAAAACATGGATAAGCAGAGATTACTCATTTGAGTGACCAGCCAAACGATTTAGTTCTTAGATGAAAAAGTCATTTTCTCGATCAAATGCAACATCGGTTAACATCCGAGATGAACTCACATACTCGCAAATGTTGAGCCCTTTGTCTCCTTGTTATTCCCTGGAGAACGTAGGCCAAACAAAAATCTAACATTTTTTCAATCAATCTTAGTGAAAATGATAAGAATCGGCTGAACAGTTGCTGAGCTGTGAGCCTTCAAGAGTCCGACCTATTGACCGGAACACCTTGTACATTTTGTTACATTGATTATTTGTTTTTTCAGATTTTGATATTTATTTTCTTTAAAATTAAATTGGTATTGAATAAAATATTTACTGTTCAAATTTGCCGCTTTTTTATTCTTTAGTACAATTTACATTAAATGGCATCTAAGCAAAAAACGCAATGAAAAAATGACATTGAATGGCATTGTTATGCGTCTCACTTCTCTGTATATAATGTACCGTACAGT